TGGTAAGGCAGATATGACATTGAAACATATAAAAGCTGTGGTTTAGGCCAGCTGTCAAGAAAACAGCAGGTGTTAAAGCTGCATGACCTTAAATGTGTGTCTTTGAGTGAGGGGGATTAGCAGGCAAAAGGAAAACAGAGTGACCATCAGTTTGAGGTATGTGTGGGGCAAACAACACTAGATCATTTCTGTGCCATGGTTCTGCTCTGCTGCCAAGACTATCTTCTCCGCATACAATAATGGGACATTCAGTACCAACAAAGTTTGTTTACCTGAGCTAATCTTCAAACACAAGGCAAGATTACACTCAGGGAATCTGGAAAAAATTGAGTCTTTCCTGGTTTTCTTAAAGAGGTTGTTCTCTAGGGCAGAAATTGAAAAAAAAGAAACCAACAAAACAAAACCCAAAGATTACTATAAATATGGATATGAATATGAAGCTTGTCTTTGATGCTTCATGCTGTGCTAGGAGTATCCTGTCACTAGTTTCCCACTCACTGCTGCTTTGCCCAGGGGACAATACTGGGAACAATATTGTTTAACATCTTTGTTAATGACCGTGACCATGGTGCAGAATGCACATTCGGCAAGTCTGCAGGTCATACCAAGCTGGGAGGAGTGGGTGACAGACTAAATGGCTGTGCTGCTATCCAGAGGGACACCCTGGAGAAATGGGCAGAGAGGAACCTCATGAAGTTCAAGAAAACCAAATGCCATGTCCTGTCTGTGGGGAGTAACAACTCTAGGCACCCAGACACAGCTCTGCAGTGAAGGCCCTGAGGACCCTAATGGACACCAAGCTGACCTTGAACCAGCAAAGGTAAAATTTGCAGCAAAGACAACAGTATTCCATGCTGCACTAGGAAGAGCACTGCAAATACATTGAAGGGAGGTGATCCTTCCCCTACACTCAGTGTGCTGGGTCCAGTGCAAAAGAGGCATGGATATACTGGAACAACAAGAGCAAAGTGGCACAACACTATTCAAATGTTTGAAGCATCTGTCGCTTGAGAAGAGGCTGAGAGAGCTGGGACATTTCAGCCTGAAGAACAGAAGGCTCCAGAGGGATTTTACCAATCTGTGTAAACATTTGATAGAGATGGGGGAGGGTTGATAAAGAAGACAAAGACAGACTCTTGTCGGTGGTGCCCTGTAAAAGGACAAGAGGCAATTGGCACGAATGGAAGCACACAAAATTCCACTTCAAGAAAAAGCTTTTTTCACTGTAAGGTTACTTGTACACTGGCACAGGTTGCTCAGAGAGGCTCCAGAGTCTTATCTTTGGAGACAGTCAAGCCCAACTGGACATGACCCTGAGCAACCTGCTAGTTGTCCCTGCTTTGAGATGGGGAGCTAGGACTAGATGATCTCCAAAGGTCCCTTCCCACCCTCAGCTATTATTATCAGCCTTTCCTTGACTATTATGAGTACCAGTCTTGATGGAACTGGATTTGGCTAGATTTAGAAGTCTAAAAAGTTTGAATAGTGAAATTCCTGATGAATTCTCCTGCTCCTTGAGGCTATCTTTTTTTCTTTGCACTCTCAAGGCAGTCATCAGCCTGCTGTCCTGAACAAAACAATATCAATCCACTCTACAAAAGAAAGAAGGCTGGGTGTGAGCTAAAAACATTGAGATGAGCATTGAGGAGAAATTCTGCAAGTCAGCACTTCCTGGTAGAGTTTGAAGCTGGTGCCATCAGAGCTCACTGGGGGTTCAAAGTTCAGTTTTCATGTGCAAGAGGACATGGTCATATTGCTTCAGTGCTGATTATATTTATTTTAATTTCAGATTTTCATATTTTATTTACTTCAGATTATGAAAGAGCAAATAAAGCAACAAAAGTAGTAGAGAGATGGAATACTAGGGGAAAAGTACTCACCTTTTATAAAGTAGCATTACCACATACGCAGGACAGCATGAAAAGAACATTAAGAATAATACACAATACAATATGGCATTGTGTCTGTGTACAACTTTCACTCCAAAATTTCCCAGTGTCTGCTTGTTTGTGATGGTGGCTGCCTCACAACCCAAGCTCATAATGATGTTCATAGCAATGTCTTGCAGGTCCAGTTCCTGGCCAGTCCACACTGGTCTTGTTTTAAGATCTCTCTTAACTAATGTTAAGAGGGAAAAATTCAGGAATACCTACCATTTGGAGACTGCCTGTAGACTGTATGCTAACAGGCTTCTCCCTGTTAAGGAAACTTCCCTGTCCAACCATCCAGGAGCCACTCTGGCATCACCTAATCTGGGACAAAGGCCCCTTTGGCATCTACATCTCCCATACTCCCAGTCAGACCTGGTTTCCTTACGGGCTCAATCCCACATTTCCCTTAGCAGAATCTCAGGCATCCTGATCCTTAAAATAATTTAATCATGGTGCAATATCAAAATAACAGCTAGAGGTGGGTGCCATTAAGGAGCAACAAAGGAAACCCTGGGCTTTTATACCCTCCAAGTTCAAGTATGGAAAAGTCTAGAGTCACCAGCTCCTCCTGTGTCTCTAGGCTGCCAGGGTCCCTGGGTTGGCTACAGATCTTCATGCCCTTTGTTATGCAAAGGGTTGGCAGGTAATGGCCTCTCACCTTGGGCTCAGGCTCGGGTTCCTGCCCCTCCAGAGCTCCACCTGCAGCTCATACTGCACCTGCAGATTGAGCTATGGGCACTAAGTGTATCCCTACCAAAATCCTATTCACTAGCAAGCCAGTCACTCTCTGGAAAAGACTTCTTGTGGAAGCCCCTGGCATCTGCTGCTCTCAGGTCTTAGGTCAAGACATTAATTCAGGACACATCAACAAGGTAAAAATATTTTATACACTTGCTACAAAAGCACTAGAGATGCTGAGGTAGTTGAGAGTTCCCATGGAAGCTCAGAGCATCTCATTGCTCCATAACAGGCTTGCACAAGGCTTGGCACATGGCACAAGTCCATCCTTGGCATGTGGCTGAAGAGACAAATTACCCTGCCATGTGGCTACCATGGGTGGGAAGTATGTCCACGGCATCTTTTGATGGAGAGCACATGCCCTTAGGGACATCTCTAACCTCAGCTCCAGTCAGCCCTGCTGGCTTGTGGAGGATAGTATGAGTGACCCTGTTAGCCTGTGCCTTTGCTGGGCCATGTCCATGTCCAAGATCCTTCATGGATATGTCCACATCCAAACTCCTCTCTGCCAGACATCCCTATTCCTCCTCCTTGCCAGTGTACTGCGGTGTGGAGCCAGTGCCACGGGAAGGTGGCTGCTCTGCCAGGCAAGGGCACTCTCCTTTTCCATCTGCCCTCTGACCCAGGGGAGACCTGGAGAGTGCTGCAGAGCTTCCACAGGCTCCTCAGGGTACAGGCCTTGGGCAGCATCAGCACAGAGTGAGGTGACTGTCCAAATGGGCTCTGCAAAGGTGCAGCCTCACCTCGTGTGCTGTGTGCAGTTTTGGGCACCACAATATAAAAAATACATAAAGATCTTAGAGAGTGTCCAAAGCAGGTCCACAAGGATAGTGAAGGGTCTTGAGGAGAAGCTGTATGAGGAGCAGCTGAGGTCACTTACTCTGTTCAGCCTGGAGGAGACTGAGCAGGGACTTAGTCCACATCTTCCTCACAACACAAAGAGGAGGGGCAGGCATTATCTCTTCTCTGTGGTGACCAGTGACAGGACCCAAGGAAATAGCCTGAAGCTGTGTCAGGGGAGGTTTAGATTGGTCCCCTGGATTTTGCCAGGATAGAGTTAACTTTATTCACAGTGGCTGGAACGGGACTGTGTTTTAGATTTGTGCTGAGCACTGGGCTGATAATTTAGAGATGCTTTTGTTATTGCTGAGAAGGACTTCCACAGAGCCAAGGCCTTTTCAGCTTTCTGTAGCGCCACGCTGGCAATGAATGTGGGGGTGCTTGGGAGGAGACACAGCCAGGACAGGTGACTCCAACTGATCGAAGGGATATTCCAGACCACATGACATCATGGTCTGTAAATAAAGTGGAGGGAGGAAGGAGGAAGGAGGGATGATGGAGCGATGGTGCTTGTATTCTCAATTTGTCACATGTGATGGGGCACTGCTCTCCTGGGGATGGCTGAACACCTGCCTGCCCATGGGAAGCAGCGAATCAATTCCTTGTTTTGCTTTGTTTGTGCACATGGCTTTTGGTTTTCCTATTAAACTGTCTTCATTTTAACCCACGAGTTTTCCAGCTTTTACCCTTCCACATCTCTCCCCAGTTCCTCTGGTAGGGCAGCGAGAAAGGTGCTGCGTAGGGCGTGGCTGCTGGCTGGGGCTAAACCAAGGGAGTTGGATAATAAGAAAATAAAAGGTTCTTCAACCAGAGGATGGCTTGACCACCGGCACGGGCCCCCCAGGGAAGTGGTCACAGCACCAAGCCTGACCCTGTCAGAGTTCAAGAAAGGCTCGGACAACACTCTCAGGCACACGATGTGATGATTCTAGGGGTGCTCTGTGCAGGGCCACAACTCGGAACTGACGATGCCCACAGGTCCGAACTGGGGACAGTCTCCAATTCCGGTTCTGTGACGCCGCTGAGGGCGGGCGGGCGGGGTCGCGGGGAGCCGCGGTTCCTCCCCGCGCCGCCCGCGCCTGTGCCTTTAAGCGCGGCCGGACGCGCGGCGCGGCGCCTGCGCGGAGCCGCCGTGACCCCGCCGCCGTCGGCGCCGCCGCTGACTATCGGGGCGCCCCGTACGCCCCCCGGCGGCGGCAGCGCCAGGGCCGGCCCCACTGCCGGGCACCCCCGACCCACCCTCCGCCCCCGGCCGGGGCGATGGAGGAGCGGCCGGAGCGGGGCGGTGGACCCGGCGCGGAGGGCCCGGCGTCGGTGGCGGAGATCCGGGCTCCAGGCCCTCGGCCGCTGCGTCTGCTAGAGTGGAAGGTGTCGGTGGGGGCGGCGGTGCAGATCGGGTCGGTGCTGGCGCTCTGCGCCCCGCTGCCGCCGCCGTCCGCCCCGCGCCCCGCCGGCCCCGCCGCCGCTCCGCCGCCGCCCGCGGCCAGCGGCGCCTCCGCCCGCTCGCAGCGCGGCGGCCCCGAGCGCAGGCTGCGCGCGGAGCGGCCCGGCGTGGTGCGCGAGCTCTGCGCGCGGCCCGGCCAGCTCATCGCGCCCGGGTGAGTGCGGGCGGGCGGCGCGGGCAGCCGCGGCGGGACGCGGCGGAGCGCGGCTTCCCAGGGGCCGGGCCGGGCCCTGCTCACAAAGGCCCTTCCTCCGGGGCTGTGCGCAGGGAAGGCGCCGTGCGAGGAGAAGGAGGAGGAGGAAGCGGCCGGGGAGGTGCCGAGGGATCGTGGTCCACTCCCCGTGGTGTTTCGGAGCTGAGCCCTTCGGTGTGAGCGAGCTCTGTCTCAGAGAGCGCCTACGTCCCTCCTGCTGTGTGGGGGGTTCTCGAAGCACTGCGCTTACACTACTTAGAAATCACAAAACCGCAGAATGAGTTAGGTTGAAAGGGACCACAGTGGTGCAGCGTCGCCCTACGGCATGTTGAACGGGATTACATCCAGATGGTTCTGGGATATATGCAGTGAGGGAGGCTCCACAGTCTGGGGAACCTCTTCTAATGGACAGTCACCAGCATGATAAAGAAGTTGTTCCCCGTGTCCAGGCAGAACTTCCCGTGCATCAGTTTCTACCTACTGCCTCTTCTCCTAATATACTTTTCTTACTTTGGCTGTTAGGTTGGTGCAAAACTCGGGGAATAAACAGATCATTCTGTGCTCCATAGAAGGAATTTTAATGGGAAACAACAGTGCAGCGAGGCATTTTAAAATTAAGTACCTTACGCGCAATATTAGCAGTCTAAATGTTTTTAATGCTGTCGATATTTTAATGTATAAGACTTCACAAGTACAACCACGATTTTATCTTTCAGAAGAGCAAGGGACTTTTTCCCCTACAGTTTAGCAATGAGTCTGTCTTGATAAAGCTGAATGTTTGTTGACTTTTAAATTCTTAAATGCCTGATAGATAGGGGGCGCTCCGATTTCTAGGTTAAGTTGGGCGAATAGCCTGCTACCTTGTACTTTAAGCAGATTTATTCTTTCTCAGTAGGAAACCAGTTAAACAATGTACTTCCTCTCTTTTATGACAGCAAGATATTTACTTTGATTGCAGTTGGTGAGAGCAGCCAGGCCTAAACTTTCTTGATTGAAATTCACTAGTATATGCAAAACATCTGTGTTTGAGGGCTCTGAAAGGTTCAAGAAAAAGACCAGTCTGATACATTTTTGTATCAGTCAGATAATGTGCTACTGAGGAGATGCAAGCTGTGTGTTTCTTGCTATAGAGATAGCTCTTTCTGAGGTAAGATGGTGGCTTTCCTTTTGTGCTGCATCAGCATTCTGTTCTTGCATCTGGCGCAGCATGGGCTGTCTTTAATACCAATGTAGAACAAAGGTACTGTCAATGCTAGGTCAGACTAAAAAAGATCTTCAAAGTGCAAGCTGAAATTTTAAAACGCCATATGCATGAGGAAATTCATGTTGGTAGCACTGAATAAAAGGGGAGATAACTTTATCTAGGTTTTTCATTGTGCTAGCTAAGCACTTGGAAGGAAAATCAAACTAAAAATATTGTAAGTGAGAAATATAATCAATTTAAAGTAGTCTGGGTCTGCTGCTGATTTAGTAGCATTTTAGTTTTAGCTTTGCTCAATGTTATCTTCATGGACAGGAATGCACCAATTTTTATACACTGTTTTTACTGGATTTGTCTTGTCATGAGTCGCTTGATTATAATTAATAAGTCCTTGCTTTGAAACAATTAGAATATAAATGGCGTCCTTTATTACCATTGTTCTTGGCTTCTGGAATATTTACATCTTACACAACTGAAAGATTGAATTCGATATTGACCATTGCTAGGCATTATGCTTCTGGAATTCTGACTTTTCAGCGAGGTTCCTCTGTTGCTTGTTGCAGTGGTATTTACTGGGTGAGTGCAAGGGAGAAGCTCAAGTGAAGAGGCAGAATAAGCATGACCTAGGGGTAGTAGAACTGGTCAGTAATTGAAGACATAACTACATTTCTTTGGTCACTTAAAAGGTTTTTTTTGCAAACATTCAATCTCTTGCCTGTGGTTTCCCATTTTGTGGAATTGAAATAATAACATTTCACTAACAATATTTCAATATGTGTTAAGATTTTGCATATTAAAACACTGGTGTGATTAAAGTAGGTAACATAGCTGAAATTCATTCATCATCTGCAGAAGATGCCCTTTTTCTAATCCGAACTATCCAGAATGGTAGGTGCCGTGCCACCTTTAGAAAAATGAACTTGGCTGATTTAGTACTGAATTCTGTCTATCTCTAAGATACTTGCAAATATTTTTCAAACACTGAAACACTGTAGAAGTACTGTTTCTACTCAAAGTATTTTTCCATTTCATTAGAACATGAGAACATAAGTTGATCAAACCTTTTTATTTGAGGATAAACAGTATCAGTGGCTGAGTTTTCTTCTTTGTCAGGTCATAATATTTCTGGAAATAAAGGCATCATTTAGCAAAAGTCTCTCCCAGTTACGCAGATACATTTATAACTTTTGATTATTTTTCTTTCATATAAAGTGTGAGATTAAATCTTTTGCTGCATGGAAGTAATTTTGCACATTTATGGCATTTAATTTTTTGTAGTGTTATTACCCACTTTTTAGCATTGACAGGGGTGCAAACTTTCCCCAGGGAAGAGCCCAAGGATCCAGGCAGTAGGTAGGTTTTGCTTATTCTTGCAGAGGTAGGCTTGCACCAGATGTCAGACTGAAACTTGAGAGAAAAGGTGTCTAACCTTTTAGGACTGTAAATAACAAGGAGTACAGGAAGCAGTTAATGAAAGGCCTTTGATGTTAATGAAGCATAATTTTTATGGGTAGCAGGAGCAACAAATAAAATGCCAAAAATCCTGCGCTGCTCTGTGTGTTATTAGTGCCAGTTATCCATTAGAGTTAATAATTCTGAAGCAGCTACAGGTCTGGCAGGATTCTGGGTTGGGTCAGTATTAATACTTTATGCAAATACTTACATAAGCATTTCTAATATAAAATGATTGCCCTACTGATGGGACAGACTATTGAAAGTGTCTTGTTTGGTTCACATTAGAAGAGTCTTCTGAAATATTTGTTACCTATATATTTAACCTGGGTATCTTTGTGTCTTACCACAGCAAATTTTCACCTTTAATAGTGAAAATTCACATTCTTCTACAGAGTATATTTATGTTGCAATAAAAATCTTTTTTTAACTGTCTGGATCCTAGTGAAGCAAAACTTGTAGTTTCTTGGTTTTGGAGAATATAGCAGGAAAGTAGTGGGGATTTGTTCTCTAAAACAGGATTTTTGTGTCATTGCTTGGTATTTTTCTTGTGCCAGAAATGTGATTATATATTTTTAAAATATCTTATTTTGGTTATCTAATGTCACATAGGCTTGTGGTCTAGTTTACTGTCCACTTAAGGCCATTTCCCAGTATGTATCTTACAGTCTTCCAAGAGGAAAAAATGCCAATAAATTGCAGTTTATTTTAAAATGGTGACACTTCTAACAAACTACAGGAAAAAGCACCTTGCTGTTTGTTTGACACAAATATTTTCATAATATCCTGGCAAATATTTAATGAAGTCATGAGTCTAAAAAACTCCTCAGTACCAAACATTGAGGATTATTGAATAATACTTAACAATCCTAACTTCAATCTCATCCAATTCCTTTTTATGCCTGAATTCATCCCATTATTTTTATAGTAAGTTTCAGTAAGCATCTTTCTGACTTTCATCTCTTTTTTTAAAAATTTTCCCCCACTCCTTTTTGCCATATACTGTGATACCAAGAAACATTACAAGGAGGCTATCTCTCTGGTGTTTGGTTGAGCTGGATAGTGAAAAAGATGCAGGTTCTAAATGAGGGCTTTTGTCTTTCATTGCCTTCTCTTTTGCCTATTCCTAGACACCTAACAAGTTGGAAGATCATAAGATTATTCATTTTACTGAATGGTAGAAGACAAAGTTCCTTATCTTTACATGGCCATGATTTCACAAAACTTGTAGGAGCTTCTTCATCAAAGAAGATCAAGCTGCTCAGTCAGGTTTGGTTGGAAACGGGCATCAGGCTTGGGATTTACCGGTAGAGTGGTTGTAGCAGCCTTGTGTATGCCATTTTTCTCAGTGCAGCTTTCTCAGACCATGGTTTCCTGGTTACTTCATGCTAATATGAGAGACGGCTGGAAGGGATGCTCAGACTTGAGTGCCTTCAGCTTGCATTGAGTAGGGTGTTGTAAACCATATAGTTATAGTTGGCTTGGTTTCTCATCCTTCCCGCCCAATCTCCTGTAAAATGAGCCATGGTAATCAATTCCCTCATTTTATTCAGTTGCTTCAACAGGAGTGTGGTGTAGGGAAGGGAGGAGTAATTTATCCTTTCAGCAGTAGCCCATAGATGGGTCAGATCAAAGTGATTGTGTATGGAGTCATCAAGGGAATAAATGACATTTAATAAATGACAACATTGGGGAATAACATTTTTGAGGTTGTGTATGTTCCATTCGGCATTTTGTATTATAGTCTTTTATATTATGTATTATAGTCTCTTATAGTAACATTCTTATCCTTACAAGGATCCTCACAAAACAGGGAATTTTCTGCTCTCTTAGTTTGTACTATGAGCTGCTCATCTTAGTTGAGCTCAAGGACTTTTTGCTGTGTGTGAATCTGTGAGCCAGCAGACAGAATGAGATAGCTCATGGTACTGTTTTATCCATCCTATTGTAGAACTACAAGCTGGTTATAGCAGTTTTTTAAAAACATTGGTATGTAGATGTCTGTGCTGGAAATAGATTGTAGTTTTACCCAAACAGTAATGGATTTTCTTTCTTAGTTACTGCTCTCTAATTTCTGTAGGGTATTTTTGAGCTTTACTTTAATACCAGAGTTGTTTAGAAAAGCGGTCTTTTTCAAAAGCAAGTGTGCTTGTTGTTTCTTCTCAGCAAGTGTGACATGGTTTTCTATAGTTTTTCCTCTTCTAAAGAGAAAATGTATGGACAAAAATTTTCATGGGAGGACTGCATTGAGACCTTTAATTTTTATATGTTTATCCTGGGAAGGGTTGGAAAAGTTTGAGGAAGGGAG